GTACAACACAATGAAAGGTGCACCTTTGTAGAGATTCTAATATAAGAGCTTTAGAGAATATATATCATAAAAGTATAAAGCTTTTGCTTTGTTAGAAGATTACGTGGACCATAAAATAATATACAGACAAAATTAACTTAAAAATTTTACATTTTTTTCTCATTTAATTATTTCTTTATCACAAAAAATATATCTATGTACTTCGTTACTAATAAAGTGTTTGTGATTTTTTAATTTTCGGTTAAAGTTAACGTCTGTGAAAAAAAATGAAATTACACTTCAAATTTTCTATGTATAATTTTCTCTGTTTCTGAAAAGCAAACTTAACCACTTTTTATCTAGACTTGAAACAAGTCTTTTTTAAATGAACATTACTCCAGGCAGTTTCATTTTGTTGATTTAAGAATTGTGCTTGCTTTATAATAAATGTTAATATTTGAATTCTAAATGCCAATCCATTAAAATGATTAAAGTACACATTGACTGTTGAATCATAAACAGGAATGTCGTTTACAATATTTATCAACTTCGCTTACAATATTCTCGTACTATATTTGCTAAACATTCGTTAAACGAAATAATTAAATTTGTTTAAGTTCACGTTATCAATGATTTTTATTTCAACGTCGACTTTTACTGTTTTAAGAAGACGCGGCAGTGCCAACTCGTACGCAAAACCAGCTGAAAAAAGTGATTTTCGAAGTGGCTTTGTTAATTTAACTTCCAAAAAAGTAAAGCTAGGAACTTTTTGATTCAAAATACGGAAAAGAAGTGTGTGAATAAATTTCATATACACATTTGTAGGTCAAGAAAAAAGAAACAGAATAGTACATTGTAAAATAGTAGTTCTTTTTAAAAAAGCTTTCTTTTTCTGAACAAAAGTTTGAGAACAACATGCGCATTGTGTATTGTATGAAAGTGCAAAATTATTTGTTTCATCGTACCAACAGCAGCTACTCGTAAAGTTAAGAGAGCGAAATGTGGTTACACGTTAATTAACTCTCGCTCGATTCAAAAACAATGTAAGCAAAAAACAATGATATTTCACTTTGTTTATAAAACCAGATGCCTACTTTAAAAATAAAAAAGCTTCATTAAACGCCATTGAAATTCATATTATTGATATGATAAAAAAACACTAGGTTATTAGAAAAACCAAAAACATTATAATTCCTGTTAAATTTCGAAGAATACGATTTAAAAATAACAAATATTCCTACAGTCACTATTGAATTTAAATTAAATGTTTAACAATTTAAAACTACAAGCCGCATCTGTTTCGTAGCTGCGTGCTACGACGTCGTAGCAATATCCCTGTTCAGCAATCCTATTAATATTATAGCGAGATTTTAGTTTAATCTTTTAATGAAACCTCTTTGATCCTCTGCAGCTCTTACGAGTCTTTGTTACAATGTAAACAAGGTAGAAAGGACAAAGGTAATCCACTAGTTGTGGACGATTTGCATATTGATTGCTTGTTCCATCACTTGTGTCTTTGTTGTAATCCAATTACTCGAAACGTCTTTCTTTATCAATAAACAAGATCTTTTACTAGCAGTTTTATATACTGAGGTAGGTCACACAATTGTAGGTCACATACTTTAACCTATGGTTATCTATTCGCTGTTTTTACTTATATTTGTCTAAATTAATTTAATGACATTATTTTCTAGAAATACTCAAACACACAATTGAATAAACAATATATTGGAAAACATAATTCACAGTATAAATTTGAATTTTTTAAAAAACATCTCTTCAATTACAAACAGTAACACGTACAGTCAGCGTCATATAGATCGTCACAGACAAGATATGCAAATATATAGGTACACCAAAAGTATTCAATTATATCGGTACAACAAAAGTCCTCAAAATAATAGATACATTCACCCTGCTCAAAAACATCGGTACATACACAGCGTCAAATATATGAGTACATGCAAGATGCTCATAAATATCGTAGCAGCCACAGCGTCATAAGTAACGAAGCAGTCAAGGTGCGCAAAAATATCGGTACATTTGACAAAATTGAACTCTATCTCTATATACTTGTGATACAATTTGGAATAAACTACTTCTGTTACATTCATTTGACAATTTGCATCAAACCATTTTTCAAAATTTACTAAAAGTGTTCGACGCGGATGACAGATATTATGTAGATAAAACCAACATCAAATTTAAGTTTGTCATCATATATGCTAGTTTGGTCTCGTGGCCTTACCGTTCGCCGTCGTTGGTACGTAAGGTCGGCGGTTCAAATCCCAAGCCACAATTTTTTTTTTTGATATTTAAACTTTTTAATTTTAATATCGAAGCACATGTAATTAAATTCTATCGCCGTAGTTGCCTTGGACTAATGAGTACTTTTCTATTTCAAACAAAAATGAAGGAGATAAAGCGATGCTATTGGCATGTAATTTGTTTATTACTCATGTTTGTTAAGCTTGTACCGGTAAAAATAACACTTTTACTTTTACCTTTTACTGATACTGATTGTATTTAAGAAACAAAGAAAAAAAACTGAATGTCAATATCCAAACTACATCAAATTTTTGGTCGATTGCATTAAACATTCCAGTGTGCGTGGGCGCGCACACATGTGTAGATAACACTTGTACGTATAGTTTCCGCGCGTACCATTCTTAAAACCCGCAAAGACAATCCACGCTCCGCCCACTCACTTCACCCGCGATGGTCTGACCTAATTGTTGTTAACTTTATTTAAATTTCTTTCTACCCGACAGCGAAAATTATAAAAAAAAAATTGTCGAGCAAAATTTTACATTACCAAATTTTTACTGGTTATGAAAAAATAACCCCGTGATTGATAAAATGAAAAAATAACCCCGTGATTGATAAAATGAAAAAAAAAGTAGCCTGGGATTCGAACCGGTAAACTTACATATTACGGCAAACATACTAGAATACTGCGCCAAACTAGTATTATATATATTGTGACAAGGCAAAATTTGATATTAGTTAATACGTATCTGTCATATTCGGCGTGACAAACTTTTATATTTAAGCGTTATGGCAGGAGAAAAAAAAAATTTTGGGTTGCCCAGTAAGTTCGTGCCGCTTTATAAGGAAAATTGAAACCCTGTTCTCTTAAATTTTTGGAAATGTTTTTAAATTATATTGGTACGACTCTATACCTAAAACGTCTTTTATTATTGGATAAAATTTTAAAAATTAGTTTTTATCTCAACCAATGAAATGAATTTATTCACAATATAGAAATATTTGTGACGTTTGATAATGGTGGAAATCCGAAAATGAATCCACTTCAGCTACAGTCTATTGTAAGCTTTATATCGAAAATCAGAACGAACTTTCCGGACAACCTATAATGTTAATACAAAGTGTCAAATGAATGTAACAGAAGTAGTTTATTCCAAATTGTATCACAAGTATATAGAGATAGAGTTCAATTTTGTCAAATGTACCGATATTTTTGCGCACCTTGACTGCTTCGTTACTTATGACGCTGTGGCTGCTACGATATTTATGAGCATCTTGCATGTACTCATATATTTGACGCTGTGTATGTACCGATGTATTTGAGCAGGGTGAATGTATCTATTATTTTGAGGACTTTTGTTGTACCGATATAATTGAATACTTTTGGTGTACCTATATATTTGCATATCTTGTCTGTGACGATCTATATGACGCTGACTGTACAATCGAAAAAAACTACAGTGGGACACATCGACATTGATTATATTCCTATTATTACTTTTACTTATTGCTTAACATTGACTTAAATAAGTCTAATTCTTTTTACTAATTATTAAAATGAAATTATTGCATTTTAATGATAATTTTCATCAAATTATTACATTTTAATGAAAAGTTTCATAAAATTATTACATTTTAACGAAAAGTTTCATCAAATTATTACATTTTAATGAAAAATTAAATTGAAAGTTATTAAAATTTAATAAAAGAATTTTTAGATTGAAAATGTAACAAACAACATTATTAATAATTATAAGTTATAAAAATATTAACACAGATATGTTGGATTTTCATTAAAATATACTTAATCTTATTAATTTTGTTAACCATATTGATTCTATTTGTTAATATGTTCTGTTCCCATTAACTTTCTCTCTATTTGTCTGTCCATTTCTATTTATTTAGAGTTAAATATGATTTTGTATTGTGCGCGCTGGATTAACGTTATAAAGTTAAGCTTATTTATATGTAGTTCAATAAATGCTTAAAAAATTAAATATAAAACATAAATAATTAATAATTATCGGAGGTAGAAAATTATTATTTTAGTATAATAAAAATTTCTCTTAGAGCTAATTTTAAGACAGTATAATACCATTAAGTTGCTCTTCAAAACATCTCCCATAGTTTTTCATAATAAGAAAAAAAATTCAATTGATAAAAAATCTTGGTATACTAAACCACTAATCTAAATCCATAATATACTAAAATGCTCTAGGAGAAAATTCATAAGACCTTAAACATTAATTTGGGAGTCCTATAGAATAATTTAGTAATATTCGGTACGAAATAATTGCTTATAGTGACTTATAATTAGATAAAGATGTATAACTTCCATTGTTAAATTACAGTCACATAAAAATAATCTTTTTTTACAATAATAAAATAGTTAACATAATTATGAATAAATATAATTGAATTTTACAATAATCTTATTTTAATTTCTTGTTTAATAATTAATCATTAAAATAATATAAATTAAAATCCAATAAAAATCATGTCTTTTTTTTTTAAATATCAAAATGTGTTCACATGACAAGGATTTTTTTAGGATTTTTTGTCAGTGGTAGTGACCAGTAGTAAACACTAAAGAACGTCTAATTGTGCTTCAAACATCTATTAATAGTGTTTTATATTTACTTAATTACATACATCTAACTAGGGGTAATAAAAATTCATAAGCGTATTGAAAAATTCTGTGGTTAGTAAACCAGTAGCATAGGAGTTGCTACCAATAAAAATACATAATCCAAAAATATTAGGTATTCTTCAAACATTATTTTATGTTTCGATTTGAACTTGTCTATGGCTGGACCTGAAAAAAAAATATAATAAAAACAATTAAAGTAACATCAAATTAAACATTCAATTAAAATAAAATCAAATTTCAATTCTTTTGAGCACTTTTTAAAGATCAGTTTTTAAAAACAAAATAGTTTTTATTAATATTTCATTTGCAAACAACTAAATTTATATAATAAAAGTTCTTTGAATTTTTATGATAAAAAATTAAAGATATTCACAATAAAGTTTAAAAGCCATGTACATCAAAGAAAAATTAAAAAGAATCCTCACCGGCGACATCAACCGTTAGAACTGACTTTGTGACGGTGATCCATCGAATGACTCCTCATTAATTAGCCTTAATTTCACCGACTCCCTCCTCAGGTTATAACTAGTGGATATATGGCAGTGCTTCACGTCCACCGTAAGAAGATCCTCGTTCAGTTCCACACCACTCTTTTCCACATCTGCTGCGGCACTTGGTTTCCTCTTGTGTCTGAACGACGCGGGTCTTGTAGAACTGGAGAGGTAGCTATCAGTCGTCGTATTCGTACCATTAAACGTTTTCTCTGAAGGACCAACTCCCAGCTGTTCCATCTGTATGTTGCCCCTGAATTGTGCCGAAGTATCTATGCAGGGAATCAACTGCTTAAACTCCTTACGAAAGTTCTCATTCATCCAAGCGTAGATGAACGGATTGTAACATGTCGAAGACATTGCGATCACGTGACCAATGAAGAAGATTAAAAAGTAATACTTGAGGTGAATAGCGTAGATGTAGTAATCGTTGCAAAGATTAATAACATTCAGTGGGAGCCAAGACAGACCGAAGATTGTCACCATAGCTATCAACATTTGGTTAGTTCTACGTTTTCTGTTTTTATCAAATTCCTCTTTACGCGTATTCTTACTGACTGCCTTTGCTTTAGCTCTATCATTCAACTTGAAGCTAACGCAAGTATAACAAAATGCTATCACTATAAATGGTAAGACAAATTGTAATATTGACGTCACGGATCCAAATACACGTCGCAGTTTCTCCGTTGGCCAAGTCTCTTCACAAAATCTTCCGATATCCAAATCATAGTATGTCATATATATCGCGTAAGGCATAGTCACGGTGATAGCGAAGGTCCATATCATAATAATTACAGTGATACAAGTTTCAACTTTCATTCTAGGTCTAAACGGATAAATTATTACAAAAAATCTGTCAATAGCAATAGACATCAAAGTCAAAGTGGATATGTATACGCTACAACCCTGTGCGAAAGGCATTACGTGGCATAAAAGTGAACCCCAATTCCACGATCCGCGAAACGAATAAAGGGGCGTAAAAGGAACTGCGAATATACACAGTAAAATGTCTGAAAGTGCTAAATTAGTGATGAATAAGTTTGTTACAGTCTGCATTGCTTTGTTCCGTAAAACAACGAAACAGACTAGTAGGTTACCTAGGAGACCGAGTACAAAAATGATCGTGTAAATAACACAGAATACTCCTTGTATAAATTTGTTGTCTATAATATTCTCGTAGCCATTCGTTTCGAGGTTGGAGGTGATATTTCTTGAAGTGACATTATTGAGTTGGGTGTTGTTCGCGGCAGTAAAACTTAAAATTCTGTCGTTCATCGTTCTCGATCGAGGCGCCGTTCGTAATAGCGAACAATAACTTTTAAGTCTGTCAATTTTACGAGCTTTGACGGTGGCTCAAAATTTAATGTTGGACCTGTAACAAATATAAATTAAGTTTTAACGACTTTATTTTGTATATTTACTGTCTTATTTGCCACTAAAAGAGTATCGTTAACACATTTTTAACCCAACATATTTACAATAAATCCATCATATACAATTAATTTAATGACATGCAATAATTAAACAATTAACAGTAAATAATACTCTTAAAATTTTATAGTAAAATATTTCGATATATTTACAAAGATAAATAAATATAAAATAAATGATAATAAAAAAAATCTTTAGTATGCTCAAACCCATTATTTGAATACCAATACATATTTTATGTATAAAGTCAGCACACTAATCAAAATATTCTACGATATGTGTATCGTGCACATTTTCTTAACATAACTTCTACGTCTTAGTTTCAATGGAACGCAATACTAAATAATATTAATATTTCGAATTAATTTTCATTAAAAATCTGTATCACAAATGTATAGAACCTCAAACTGATTGAATAAAAATAATACAAGAAATCCGAACTCAAGAAACAAAACTCAACCAAATTTTTTGAGGTTATAAATGTCGCTAATAAATAATTTCACGTTTAATCACTCACCTACATGTTTCAGCGTTTAATTAACACGCACAGATACTAAAACCAATATTAACTAACCGGTGACATGTTAGTAATCTGTAATCGATGCAAATTTTTTATTTATTTTCAGTGGCACGAGTCGAGTCGTGACATGCGCGGTTTTGACTGGGGCATGCGCTCTAGCTTGTTCAACCCCGGAGATTCGCAGGTAACAACTTTCGACGAATATTCCATACCAATATCCGTAATATCGTTTCAGGGTTTGACTTCTATCGGCTTTGTAGGCTCAATGTTCGAGTTTCTTTTGTTTCTTTGCTAGCTATGAGCGCGGAAAGAATCTATGTTTTTTGTTACTATTGTGTGTAGAGACTATTATTTTCAAATTGTATGAACAGAAATTTTTAATAATATTTAATTTTAAAATCAGAGAGATAACTACAGACCACACGCAGTGGCATATCACGTTTAAGCTGCAACCTTACCAATATTATAAATGCGAAAGTTTAGATGGATCAATGGATGTTTGTTTGTACAGATCTCGATGAAATTTGGCATACATATAGAACATAGTCTAGTAATATTTTTTATAACGCGCGGACGGCGTTGCGGGCGACCGCTAGTAAATAAGTAAATACCAAAAATATTGTTTACCAAGATCAATTGTCTCTTAGCCAACATATTTTTTAAATAATTACCTTAATCAGAGACAAACTTTAAAGGATCATATTGCTTATCATCAGTTGTAACAGAGGTAAAAAAATTATAATGTAAAAAACCTGATGACCTTTTAAAATCGACAACCCTAAACAGAATGAACGGAAGTGGCACCAACACCCCGATAAAACTATCTTCCGATGGAACATTGCTTTGCTCTATATGTGAAATGCATCTATAGACAAAATATACATTTCTATGAGGTCACCAAAAATGTTATGAAATAAAAATTTGGATACATTGATGAATCCATAAGCTACTTTTGGAATAATAGAGAAATAATACATAAGAAAGATCGCATAATTATTTAAGCTTTCGTGAGACATTATACTAAACTGATATAAAAACGGCTAAACACTCACGTATATTCGTCCGGTGGCGGCACCGACTAGTTTCGAGCCCAACGGTGGCCCTTCATCAGGATGAGTGGTCACTCAAGTGAGCGACGGGCCGCGTCCGCGAAATAATACCAGTACCACTCTTCCTGATGAAGGGCCACCGTTGGGCTCGAAACTAGTCGGTGATATACGTGAGTGTTTAGCCGTTTTTATATCAGTTTAAGATCGCATAACTTGACCTAGATTATATATTTCAATATCTTTTTCTCATTAAAAGATTTCTATAAACTGCTAAATAACAAGCTTTACTGTCGTACTCAGAGTCACTGTGTGTGAGTTTGTTTATAAGATTTTAATTTTGCCAATATGAAGTAAATTTTCACTCTGTTATTTCTTCTCGCGTGTCTCCATCTTATGTAAGTTGCGGTTAACGTAGTATTTTAACATTACTCAAATGATAGTTAACGGTTGCACAATTAAGGCCCTTTGCCTTAATATCTTAATGGACCATTCCCATTAAATAGTCGACCCGGGGCTCGTTTAAAGTTCTCTCAACTAAAATGCTTCTCATTCAATACTTCAATTATGTATGTTTGTGCATAAACTGAATTGTTTTTATTTATGTTGTAAGTAATTGGAGAAATTGACAATTATAATGTTCTTTTTTAATATTTGCAACACTTTTTAAAGCCATATTTTTGAATCAAAGCAATAACATACTGTTTTAAGAATAAGTCAGGAAAGGTGGAGGCAGATGATAACTATGAGTTATTATTAAGACTGTGATTCAAATAAACTATATAATAAAACTAAACCAAACTAAACAAAAAAATCGACAATAAATAGCTACGCTCGCAGATCAGGATACCCGAGAGGCTGACGACATGTCCTCGTTGAATGGCCAGGCTCAACCTTTGTCCGAAATGCATGCCAGCCCTTGGATCCCCTAAGGCGTCGATGAGCTGTGCGGAAGCACCCCAAGGCCCCAAGGTCTCCACGGCGCAAATACATATATACGGCTCTCCCAAGGCCGCATATTTACGCCTTTTAGTCTTAGTTTAACTTTTATTATATTCAATAACACAAAAAATAGTCTGTGATTTGATAAAAATATTTCCGTTTAATAAAGTAAAATCATAAATTCATTAGCAATGAAGTCTTGGCATTTTAGAAACGCTATAGTACATTACACTGGGAGATATAACGGAGCGCTTAAAAAACAATTTGCGCCTATAAAAATGTCCGACGTCTACATTTAAAAGAAAATGAGATGAAATCTGCATGAGATCATGGTAGCTTAGTGCATCTCGGTATTGGTTAAATGATTAAACATTTTAATAAAAAAACATTCTGATAAAAAGAAACACAGCCTAACGATCTTTCTGACGACTCTGGGTACTCGTTTTCAGGTTATAAATTTTAATCATCTCATAGTTTCTATTCTTTTATATTGATTCTTACGACTGCACTACGGTTTTCAACTTTATCTTTTTATTTGTATAAGAACATTAGTGAGGTTTATTAACACAAACGTAAATATTACCCTTAATGGATATGTTATGTCAAATGTTTTAGTTTTAATTACACAGGGCTTGTTTGCACAAATTTTCGTGAATTACCTTGGATTTTCGAGACTAAAATCTCTGTATAAAACATATACTTACTTACTCCGCTGGCGCATCGACCCAAAAGTCTTGGCCTCCGACACAAGAGATCATCTTCTCTTTTGTCGGTTTCGTAATTCGTATAAAACATATAGATATAACAATATGTTTTAAACGATGATTTTGTCCTCAGAAATACACGGTTAGTCGCAAATACAACATTGATTTACAGACCATTTTTTTGACATAGAGAATTTGTTTTAATTTTTGTTATTAGTTGTTAAAGGAGGTTACATGTTAACTGACATTAATGATAAAAAAAGGTTTTTTTTTGTTTTTGTCCGATTGACCGGAGAATAATGTTTTGCGTGATATTATATGTTTGTAGAAGTTTACTGTATATTTGTATGTCTATTCGATTGAAGCCCCTTTATATCCTTAACGGCTTTCAATTTTGGTGTCATTCGACACTTGCATATAAAGACGATTGAGCTTGAGCTTTTTATTATGTATTAGATTTTATAATTGTTTATTATTTTTGTTTATATTAACTTTAAAATACCATAGCACTAAATCAACAATTTCAAAATACATTTCTAGGTGCGATATAAATTATTTAGGTATTTCATGAAATTTATGTTCCTATTATTATGTATATTATGTTCCTTTGGAAGCTCAGAGATAGAGTACATAATTTCCCGAGGGAAATAATGACGTCATAACATTTACCATTGTATAACAACAGAATTGTAAGTTTAAGATTACATAACAGGTATTAAGAGAAAAATACTAAACATATAATTTAAAAAACTCTTTCAGATTTACAAAAAAAAATCTCCAAGACTTAACTATGACATTAGTCTTAATTAAAGTTGACTAGTTGTTGGCAATCTTTTTGAGAAAAATATTCTCATTTTCGGTTCAAATAAATCTTACTAATATTATACATTTGTATGTTTGGATGGATGGATGTTTGTTTCAAGGTATCTAAAGAACGACTGTATGGATGTCGCTGAAACTCGGCATAGATATAGAACATAATGTGGATAGGTTAATAAATAAGTTTTTTTAAAACTGTGCAGACGGACTCGTAGGAGACAACTAGTACACTTATAAATCTTTATACTACAAAAGCTAAGTTCTTTATGTTTTTTGGAAAAGTATTGCTTAAAACTTCCTAGTAGTAGAGAAAAAACATACAACTCTCGACTCTTATCTTAGGTAAAACAACGATATATTATATTTTATTGTGATATAAGTGAAAGTTATGGTCGTTAACTTGTATAGGGTAAGCCTTATGTGCTATAAATAAATACATAAATATATATTAGGAGCACAAACATTGCTACTTGTAAATATTTACATTATTGTACATCTTGTTCACTTTTTATTGGGATTTTTGTTCATTAGTTGACTACTATAATATAAAATTACAAATACAGATAACATATAGAAAATCTTTATTAATTATGTACTAAAATAACTTGTCGACTCGACTTGCTTTTATTTTATTTTATAATACTTAAATCGTAAAAAAATTGTAAATGAGAATGTTTGGATAGATGGATGTTTGTTGAAAGTATCTCTAGAATGGCTGCATGGATCTCGCTGAAATTTGGCTTATATGTAGACCAATTTTTGTTGGCTTTTTTTATCATGTGCGGGCAGATTCGCGGGAGACAGCTAGTTATGTAAATGCAAGCAAAAAGTCAAATCAAATCTTCAAAACCCTACCATTGTTTCATAACAAAATCCATTGGTTTAGAACCACATAAGAGACAAAAATAAAAACATTAATTTTCATATACTAGATAGATAAACTCGTATTTTTTATACCTATATTTTAGCTTAATTAGCTATCGTACCAATTAGGACCAAGACCATCTGTGTAATAGAAAAAAATCATTACGAAAAATATTTTTCTTCTTCAAATTATTAAGACGTTGACGAAAAGTTATGGAACCGAATTAAGCACACAATAATGTTAGGGAATATTAAATTTAATATTCAGAAGCCTATTTGTAATTACTCTTTCAAATATGAGGAAAGCCTCACGAACAAAATTTAATTTCAATACTAATTTTCTTCTTCAAAGGAGATCCCTTCAAGGAGATTACTGGATTTACTCTCTACTGTATATCATTTTTCGGGACTTTGCTTCGTTATAAGCCATTTGTAATCTATGACAAACAAAAAATGAATTCCATTCGCAATGTATACACCTTTATTTGATAAACAAAGTTTTGATTGCTTACTTAATTTTGGAATTAAACAATTTACCAAAGAAAAGTATAATTTTTGAAAATTACGTTATGATTCCTTACAGAGTACTCTATTAGTCTTATTTTTTTATGATTTAATATTAAAAGTTAACTAGTTTCATTTTTTTAAATTAAATAATCACTTCTTTGTATACTAACTTCTCCACTAAATCTATTTTCAACAATCG